AATAATATCAGACACAATATAGAATCGAAACTGATAATAAGCATACTATAGATTCGTCCTCTGTTTATTAAGAATAGCATGACTGACTGTCCACTTTTCCTCGTCTAAAAATTTCTTCTGTTTTCCTACTTAATAGTGTTGAAGTATTACGCTGTGTGGTGCATTTCTTGACGCTCATGCTGCATCAAGTTTGTGTTCAGAATAAACAAAACTTAACTATCTCGTTCACTTTTTCCTACCAAACACTCAACGCCTAGCCTTCTGCATCGTGGATATTGTGGTTTAACATTGTCATTCATCAACTTATAATTTTAAGAGCGACTAAAATTATGCCAATATGAATGGGTACAACAGTCAACCCTCATCCATACACTCAGTGGTTGTTTAGTTTTTTGTCAAGAGGCTGACGACAATAACAACAGAGTACACTAAAATTAAAGGAAGTATATCTGTTCCCGTGATAAAAAAAATCATAAGATAAAACCAGACAGAAGGAAACAAAGAGAATGAGCGATGCCTGAGACAATCAATGATGGCATACAGAGTCATAAACAATGAAAAACCATTCAAAGTGAACAGCGGGTGGGGTTGAAGCAGTCTAACTCAAAGAATCATAAAAGAACGGAAAAATTCATAATAAACTATTGTACAGGGCATATTGACATTTGGAGAGGGGGAGAAAAACAGATCACATTTTTTCAATTTAAAATTTGAAAGAATCCAGATACATGAGAATCAGCAGTTGAGTGAAGTCATGAATGCTGAACTTTTACGTTGATTAAAAAATTCACATGCTTTGCCTGAATGCTGAAAAATACTGAAAAACGTAGACGACGCGCACCGTCATCATCACCATCAATATCAACATAGGATCAGGCATTACTGCGTAACGGTCCAACTTGCCACACCTCATATCAGTACATCAAGTAGAAAAGCAGAGAGGTGCAAGATGAAGATAAGAAAATTCAGTCAAAAGAAATATAAAGTACGAAAAGAGAGAAGGAAGAATAAGAAAGTGGTGAGATTCGGTATAGAGTCGTTAAGATGATAATGTGTGTACGTGTATACATCTGCGCCACTCACATCGGTTCTCAGCCATATCACCTACAGTCAGTCTCCAACCACTGATTTCTCTTGTCCCGCGGACACCAACCAGCTAGTCTGCATCACCTCACATGGCTGAAACCAACAGTCAAAGACCTCATACATTGGTGCCATGTTTTAGTTTGGCCACCTCGAGCCTTTTTCCAGCCTGGACCTACTTCGGCCAACATTGTGTGACAAGGCAATCGGCAAATAGGCATATGTAATACGTGTCCCAACCATCTCAGTTGATGAAGGTTCACAACCTCGTCAACTGATTTACCTCTACCTCCTAAAACTCCATACCTGACTTCTGCGTTATTCACGTGGTTACATCATGGAATACATCCTATACTATGAAGGCAACGGTGGTCAAACACATGAGGAAGCCTTCTCATGTCTTTCACCTTCAATGACTATGTTTCACAGCCATACAGTAGAACAGAGTGGACTGGTGTGCAGTACATGCGACCCTTAATAGACAATCGGATATCACGGCGACGCCATAGGTGGCGTAAGTTGACAAAAGCCAGCCGAGCTTTTTGTATGTTAATATTTTCTTGATGATGCGCTTCGTCTTCCTAGGGTTTTCCTACTCATCTAGATGCAATCTGTTCATTCACTGACACGGTGATTACCGCAATCTATTTGATAATGGCTTTTCTATCTTGATGCAAATCACTAAGAAAATACTAACAGACGCAGACTACAAGCACCATGTTAATACTTACCTGATACCGACAAAGGTGGAGATTTGCGGTAAATATATAAGGCCAAAATTTTGACAGTACTAAGCGCGATTAGTCAGTAGAAAGCTTGCACTCAGCAGTGAGGTTTGAAGCTTCAGCTTCCAGCGATAAACTTCGCATGTATCAAGTTGAGTGGTTATATTCATCGGTTAAAGGTGATCACCCGCTCATGACACTGAGGTGACAATTCTTTCATTTCGATAATTTACTGAGCGTGATATGAAACTTTGAAATGCTATTTTTACTAATCAACAGTTTATCATTAAAATTTTTGTATTTCGTCCCTTGAGTTCCTAGTGGAAATACGGCTTCAGCAGCAAGTACCCGTTGCAATCTTATCTCTGCAGTCTTTTCAACCTGGCTCCACCAATGCCCACAAGCTTTCATTTCTTTCTCACACCATCTCCTCCGTGTCATCCTCGTCTCAGACGCCCAACTCGAGGGCCTAACCTGGAGCGAGATGTCCCTAGTCGGTCTTCTCAGTGTATGCCCAATCCAATCCATCTCCAATTTCTTCTGCATATTCGTCGGGCAATGGGTTTTTGGTTGGTTCGTTGCCAGCCAGCCGGCCAGCCACAGTTCCTGGTTGCTTATTCTTTCTGGCCATCTGGTCTTCAGCATCGGGCGAGCGTAGGAGCAGCTTCAGATTATGTATGTCTGTAGTTTGTTGGAAATGCTTTTCGTAACGTGCCAAGTCTCTCAACCACCACATAGAAGCACTGACTTGACTGAATTAGTGTTGAAAATCCGGATATTGTTCACGCTTCATGCTGAGTGGAGTAGATCTCCACACTCGTTTCAGGGTAATGAAGACCTGTCTTGTTGCCTTTCCGGTCCTGGTTTTGACGTCCTCATCTTTGCCTTTGCCACCTGTAGTTGAAACGATGCTATCTTGCCTAGGTCTAGGTAGGTGAAAGAGACTACTACCTTTAGGTTTACGTACTTGATGGTGACTGATGTTTGTTGATGTCGTTGCTGTTAGTTGGATATCTTTATCACCTGTGTTTTCTCTACGTTCACCTGAAGGAAGTCCCGTCTTCACCGCTCCGCCTGTCCTTCTAACTTGTTGGTTTTCGCCTGTAGATCTACAAGTTTGTGCGACAAGACATTACACATAAATCGTCAAATGTTGTCAGGTCTCTCCTACAAGCATCCTATTCTGCTTCACTTGCCAATGTGTCGCAGAAGTATCTATTTTCTTTGCGCAAACTCTTCTTCACTTCTTTCTCCAGTGTAGTGTTTTATAGGTTGTGTTCAGTTCCTCTTTTCCTTGTTCATGCCTGCATTGCGCCGCGCTGGTTCATATTCTGTTTCACCATCTTCCTCTCCCTGCTCTATCACCTTCCATGTGTCCGTCGAGATCCATTCATTCTCTCCTCTTGCCTCTTCTTCCTTCCCAATGTGGTCATGCAAGTTTCTTTCCACATCTCTTTCAAAGACTTCCAGTCTTCTTCCACTCAGGTTTCTTCAGAGATGTTGCTCAATATCTCCCATTTTATCCTGATCACTGACAACGTGAAGATGTCTCTTGTAGTTTCCTCCTTCAGTTCACTTTCTGTTCTGGCTCTTCAACTTCATCTAAGGTCTATCACCAACTTCTTGCAAGGCTTTCAACTCCATTTTGAATGTAGGTTCCTTGCACTAGATAGTGAGTGGTGTCAACCTACATCTGCTCCCCTTCTTCATCTGATCTTCTCTCCAGTAGGCTGACTACGTCTCCACTTTCTTCACATTGAGATAAAGTCGATCTCATGTGTCCAGTGAAATCAAATCCATGTTGCTACCTTGTGAATATCCTACTTCCAATCACCAAATCGTTGAATGCCCACAAATCTGCAAACAGTTCTCCATTTAAGTTCATTTCACTGAGCGCTTCTCGACCCACGATAAGTTCTCTTCCTGTGTTGTCCACTCCGAGTTTGGCATTCATGTCACCTCACCCATTAGAATTTTAAACGTCGCCAACTGGGGTCGGGTCTCGCACATTACTGATTACACTTGTCTGTAGAATCCCTCCTTCTTCCCTTCATTCGCATTATTTGTAGATGCATAGCGTAGCATTGTATCATTGTGACTTTCCTTCTTTTCCAGTTGAATCCATCTGGCTGTCATGATCCTGATCGTGAATGAGATTGGTTCCCACTCCATGACAGCTATCCATACTCTTGGAGACATCGTGGTAGACACTTCGGAACTCAGTGTGTTCATGGTTGCTGTCTGGGTGACAATATCCGAGTAGGTTATTGACTCTTCACTTGACAGTTTGTAGAGTCCACTTCCATTCCATCTGCAGATTCCTAGTCCGGCACTTCTATGCTATACCTTCTCATCTCTTTGGTAATCTGGGTAGTCTTGGTAGACTTAAATATTGTTTGGACATTCCATGTCCCCATGTTTACTTTCGCTTTCATTGAGAGAAGAGAAGACGCATCGGCCAATCAGCTTCACGAAGGCTTTCACCAGGTGGCATCATTTCGCCTCTTCAATTCTAGAGAGGAATAAGTTTAATTTCATGTGTTCTGCAAGTTATAATAAGGTTAAATCAGAATATTTTAAAGTTTTTGACTGATGATTTAGCGCGCTGATATAAGCACTCGACTTTAAGGCTATTAGTCCTGGGTAGAAATCCCGCTCCATCTACTATAAACTGGGTAAGCAAGTAGTATTGTGAGCCTTCATACAATGGTTCATAGTAAACCATAACGAACTGGATTCTGTGTGAAGATTAACAAACCTGCGTATTGAATTTGTTTGTCAAGTACAATGCATTGATGACTAGTAAGCTGATCAACTCAGAGGGAGGTAGAGTAAAAATAGAGCAAATAACATGCAGATGTTTCGTGCTGTGGTTCAGTAGTCTATAAAATAACTAACGAACCCTAGGTCGACGATATCAAACCAGTCCCACTGACATCTGAGAATACTGCGTAAACTGAACTGATGACATATACTACAGGGATTTGAACTATGGTATGCTATGATTCTGCTTACTGAATGCATATAAAGGTCCTTAAAGGGTATATTATTTAAGTTTGGATTGTTAACTAAGCAGTAAAAACGATTTTATTAAGAACAATGCAGTTAAGTAGGCAGGAACTATATCCAACACCTGCTAACGACTAGCATCTTTTTTCCATTTAACAAACAAAAAAACAGTTTATTACTCACTCTTAGCGTGATTCTTTTAGATGGATTAAGAACTAAAAGTTTGCGTAACAGAGCTTCACAGTCGGTGGACATGTAGAATGGAACACGATACTTTCCACGTAGAACACGTTCTTGTAGATCCTACAAAAAAGAATAGATTAGGAAGAGGAGTAGAAGAAGGAGAAGAGAGAGGATACAGGATCCTGGTGGTCGAATATGTCTACACACAGCAGAAGTATGAAATGACATTGAGACAAACACATTGCAATCCAAATACATTTTCTGTTACAAGAGATACTGACACACATAGGCATTCTTTTCTAGAAAGTTATTGCATGCGCAAAGTAGAAGAGTCGTTCTAATGAATTTCTAAAGATCAACTTATACGTGCAATGAAGGGATAAAAACCCAAGAAAACGAAACAAGATGTGTCGACGCCGCCAATGAGGGTCTGCGAAAATGTGTTCTAAAGATAAATTTAACTATAATCCTAAACAGTATGAATTGGGTGGAACGGATCTGAAAATCTCCGTATAACACAAATAATAGTGTCATAAAGGAGTCAGTAAAATCACCTGAATAGAGGAGAGTATTAACAATAATCAGCTTACGATATACACTTTCATTTCTTTGATGTCAGTGCTTAAATTTTCCACAGAGTACCTTAGGTATCTGGAGAAACGATGATTCTAAGATTATCATTCAACTATCTGAGATAGCCGTAGTTTGGCAGACTAGTATTTATACTGGTTGATAATCGAAGACGAAAAGAAAATTCAGACCGTGGTCGGATTCGGACCAGCGACCACCGGGTTACCAGCTCGATGCTCTACCAACTGAGCTACGACGTCTAACTGCTGACCAGATTTTTATCATCACCCAGTGTATAGATTCTAAGATTGTCGAGGTAAACTAGGTCGACCAGTGATATTAGTTGTCCACTAAATATCGAGCAATCATCAAAGTTGAGATAATGTTGGTTGTAAACACAGTTGACATTTCATTATACTACACACTACACTACACTACTACACACTTTAAGTTATATAATGCTAGGTCAATATACCAGAACGCGAATTTGTCAGAGAATAAGGTTTAGTTACCATTGTAAACCTTCACCGACTAAGGTGGCTTGAGCATATGTGCTACGATTACCGATCCATCGTCTACCTAAATTTACGGTGCTAGGAGAAGCTGGATTAGGTCACAAGAAAGTTCAGGGTGGTCAGACTAAGAAGTGGAACCGGTCTGTGAAGTGTCTGACTCTTGGTCTTAGCCCTGTATGAAGATGTAAACTGCTGGGTTAGAGTCCTCGGGTAAAAAGAAATCAATGGTTACAGACACTTAGTAGCACAGCTAAAAAACCGGTCACAATAGCGCAGATGTAGTCACTTCTTGGTGTCTTCTACAGCTTGAACATTTCCACTAAACTCGATTTTCAAATTCCTTCTCCACTCATAGATTTTTGTTTACTTTGATAACACTATCTTTCTACCCACTTTTTATTTGTAAGTCATTGTGACTTGTGGCAGCTAGGCACCAATGCACTTGGTGCTAAGTTCTACGTTGACTTTTTTGTTAGCCCTAATGATACACTCAGCCTTTAACAAATAAATCAAGCAAGCACACTTATTTAACTAACAATCTTGATAAAGGGGGATTAATAGCCAATACAGTAGAACAATCCCTGAAGGATGCTGAAAATCACTTTGGAATGTAGGATAGTGAAGAATATTTGTAGCTCAGGGAGGAGGATTTCGGTGATATTGCCTTTTCTAGGCTGAGTGGTTAGTTTAATCGCTGCTAAACTTTCACTGTCATTCTAAAAGAAATCATTAGCACAAGCTTTGGAAAGAAACATTGACGATGTTGTTGTGAATCAGAACGAAAGTGTTATGATCAAAATATCCATCTCAGAGAATACAACACCAAAAACTGTGGAATGTTAATGGTTGATCACTTTGAGACATTATACTGTTATGACAAAGCAATTTGATCATCCTAGTCACATCGACCCATGCAATGTCAACGCGAAAGAACATTGTTTCGATCCCTACTGTAATGCAGGGCAAATATAAATACAATATAGTATATAAGGAACGATACAATCAATCTGTTCTTTTAGGTCATTAGTAGATTTGAGAATAATGAATGAATAGATAATTCCCTACTTCATCAGCAGACATCAATCGGCCATGCCACGCTATATCATATCCATATTCTTCCTTGTAATCAAACCACTATTATTTAACAACAGAAACAATACTGGAAGAACTAACATGTAAACAACTTAAAGTGATACTCAGATTAATAAGTTTTAAGAAGAAGCCTATGTATTGCATTGTCATTCACACGTGTACACACCATCAACACCTTTAAAAATCCCGCTCCATTTATTTCGTGTTGGTCAATTAGGATAGTAGCGAAAAGCGGCCGGAATGCACTCAGCAACCTTGTGCACACTCTTATAGTAGGCAATGAGCCACATCTAGTGTGTAAAGGTTAGTGATAATAAATACCTGGCTATTGATACCATGATAGCTCGAGCGGGACTCGAACCAGTGACCAGTCAGTTAAAAATTATCTCTCTGAACCAACGAGTCACAGATCCGTTACGTGTGGATCAATTTGTACGTTATCGAGTTATATTTCTTACTTTTACTATTAAGCAACATGAAAGAACTAGGAAAAAACTAATTAACTGGAACTAACTTTTAAATGTTGTGCATCGAATGGAAGTGATCCACTAACAAGTGTATACAATATTACACCTAATGACCAGACATCAACTTCTGGACCATCATATTTACGTCCTTGAAATAATTCCGGTGCAGCATATGGTGGACTGCCACAAAAGGTATCCAACTTTTTTGAACCATCAAAAAGATTGGAAAAACCAAAATCAGCTAACTTTATATTGAAATAACCATCGAATAACAAATTTTCAGCCTGAAAAGATAAACACCGAAATATAATGAAAGAAAGATAAATCATTTTATACATAAACAGATAAATGATAAAAGTTTCCACAAGGGGAATAAAGTATTTGTTATACTTTAATCAGGTTAGTCAATATCAATATGAGAACTGGTAGTGTAGTGAGAGTTGCTGATAAGAATGGATATACTACTATGTTGAGAAGGTGGCAGATATCATAGGGAATTACCAGCAATGGGTAAGGATTCCACCAAAAGAAACCCAAGAGACAAGGCAGGCGTATGAAGAGCAAATTAAGAAAGAAGCAGAAGGGGAAAGGAAGCATATTTTGAAAATGACGGTTTTAGTGCAAGGTGTACCACATTCAATGACTACTGTCCCACTAGTTGACAATAAACATTCCTTCCTGCATACCTGTCTTTTGCTTCTTTGCAGTAGTATTACTGTGTAGCAACCCACGTAGGTTATATCAGCATATAAGGAGACAAGGTGGTAAGAGGAATATAAAACAGAGAAACGAAATCCCGAAATGAAAAGAAAAGAGGTTAACACAAACAATGAAAAGTGATGAATTTGTTGAGTTCAAGATAAGAAATGGATTTATTTGCGCCTCTAACCTTACACCGTGCTCCACATATTTTCTGCAGTGAACTTTGTATTTCATATTAGTAATGGGATGCATAACACTGAAAACCAAGTTCTATGAATTAGTAAACTCATTAAGGTTGCTGTCTAACATTTAAAAGTAGATGAAATTAATCGAGAGGTAAAGCGAACACTATTCAGAACCATAGATGCGAATACAGTCAGTGGCATTCCAGCCGAGCAAACGGATAATAACGATCGCCTGCTATAAATGTGCTCAGATAATCATCTGTCTCTGGCCAGCAAGGACTTCAAACACAAAGACAATGTCCAACCTGGAAGTAAGAGACGTTAACTCAACGATGGACACAAATAGACCATACTGCTACACCAGCTGTCGCTAGAGAGGATCGGTGGAAGATTGTCAATCATTCTGTAGTATGTGTTTAGACAGTGAACACACCTTGATTCAATTATGCATATGTAGGCACTTAAGAAGATGTAGAAAAATTACTGCATCAAGACCACTGAGAGGGTAACTTGAGGATGAGAATACTAAGGCTGATTTCAATGAGAAACTGGATATACAGTTATCGGAACATCAAAATATCAATCAGCCAGAACAGGCCTGGTGCAATCCAGTATTGAAGACAATAACTAACTCTTTGAAAGTGGTTTCAGTGGATCAGTGGAACACAGGAGCTTCTTCTGAACTAGTGGATGTATGCCGACGTATCCCTTCAGGTTCCAAGTACAGTGAGTAGCCGAAACAACTGAAATGTAGGCTGAGAAATAGTCTTCGCGACGACCAAGAACGATGGGGGGTAATGAAGGCTAAAGAGGTGGAAAAAGCAGCTGTAATAGCTAACAGCAAATAATTATTCAGACTTATCAAGGAAGTTTGGGAAAAAGATCGATGGTTAGTGAGACTATAGCGGAGAAGGATGGGTTTGTGATTCGTTCAAATGAAAAAACGACAGCAGCTATGGAAAGAACATTTCCACAAACAGTTTAACTGGCCACCAGCTACTATTCAGTTGTCCGGTATCCGGTTGGAATCTGAATGGGACTTTGCAATAAGCCCTCCAACTTTTGCCACAGTCGACAAGGGAGTAGGTAACCTGAAACGAAGAAGGGAAGTGGAGCCAGATGGGTTAGTAGCAGAAATATTTAAGGACAGTAGTAGGTGATTATTGATCAGGTTAACCAGCGTATGATCCCCTGTGATTAATCTCAACCATTGATTGTCTCAGTCCTCTAGCAAGGAGAGAAATCCTGCTGTGATAACCATAGCGAAATCAGCTTGACGAACATAGTGTTGAACACTTTAGATTCTATTATCACTGGATGCCAAAGTGAAGCCCCAGAACACCAAACCCGAGAAAACCAGGCTGGTTTCATTAGACCTGGTTGTTGATGTATTGACCAGACATTCGCCCCCAGCAGGTATCGTTATCCACGCCCGGCAACAATTACATTTTTCGACTTGAAGGTCGCACACCTCTCCGTTGAAGGAAAGGCCATATGGCAGTGTTACACAGAAAGAGATGTCAAGTAAGTATATCGCCTTACTGAAGGCTCGGTATTTGAACACCTGTGGGCGTGTCAGAGCCTGTGGTGAGCTATTATGTGAGTTGTGCACGTCGAACGGTGTCCGTCAAGGATGTCCACTCTTTCCATTCTCATTTAATTTTGTCATAGACGTAACTGTGGAGATTTCTCTGTATCATGACTTTACAGTGAATAGTCTTGCTAAAAAACTCCCTGGGTATAGAGATAACGTTGTGTCATGTCAGATAAAGATGCTGTCTTTTGGGCATATTAAGTAGTATTAGAGAATCTTTGAGATGCGTTTCTCATCATCCAAATACAAAATGTTGTTACAGGATTGGTCTACGCTGGTGTGCGGTGGGGGATGAAGAGATTGAGCACGTTAAGCACTTTATTTATCTGGGATATGGGATCTACTCTAACTGGTCAATGATTGACGAAATCTTAGCATGAATACAAAAGACTCGCTTCGTTTTCACCAACTTACACCATTTATGGAGCCACCGTGATATCCAATTACACAACGGCCGAGCATACTGGGTTGCAGTTAACTTTGTTCTACAATCGCTGTTGCGTTCGTAGACTAGGCCACTCTTCCTCGTGTTAACGTGTCAGCAACGTAGCAGTCAAGCAAAGAGTTCTGCTCAGAAGAGAACAGTCACCTGATGAGGTTGTATACCTCAATCGACTCAGATGGTTGAGAAATTGTGCTAATCATATCTAGTCACCATCTGCATCGTCGTGCAATGTTAAATGAAGCATTAGGTTTAGGTTGGAAAACGGTTACAGGGAGATCAACTAAAAAAAAATGCCATGTTAAAGTTCATGTGACAACCGTAGCTGGAGGTTGGAGACATTAGGTGATATAGTTCAGAATCGACCTCAGTGGCGTAGAAGTATAACACTTGTCATCTGCATATTATTCATCATATCGATTTTCATTACTGCTTCATTCCTTCTGGTTGTCTTTTAATAACTTTTTTCTTTGATCTTCTTCGTCCTTATTTTTTTATCTTTCAGTTTGATGTCTTCTATGTAGATATACTGATGAGGTGTGGAGAGATGGACTACGAAACATTAATGGCAGGTTTCATTTTGATCCTGACTTACTGAAATAATCGATATAATATCATATAAAATAATATAAGCAGAAAGTGATGATAATTGACAAACCTTCAAATCTCTGTGTACAATTTTCTTCTGATGACAATATTCTACAGCGGATACAATTTGTCGAAATGCAGCTCTTGCCTCCCGTTCTTTCATTCGACCATGAGCGACTAGATGATCGAATACTTCACCTGAAATAACCGTAGGATAAATAGACAATAAGAAAAGCAATGACGACAGTAAGACTAAAAGAAAATGAAGCGAGATGGGGAAAAAGAAAAGGAAATCAGCCTTCAACGATGCATAAATCATACTTGTGTGTTGATCACGAATAAACTGTGCACGAAGTAAGTGGTATACAGTAGTAGTAATAATGATAATAATAAGGACTATAAATAGCTTATTGTAATACATTTTCATGTATTACTTTCGGTTAGCAATTAATTTACAGTTCTATACGCATAATTGCATATGAACACAAAAATAATTTACTGTAAAGGGAAAAAATAATGAACAATAGGAGTGGAATAAAACAACAATTCTGTTGACTAGAGTACCTTTTCATCATTCGAAATTCTTTTAAACAAATTCTACAATACATTTAGTCAGATATTATGAAATGAATAGTATTAACCAATTCAGCAACTTGCTAGTGGAAATCATACAATATTAATTTGATAACTGATGAATTCTACACACAATGTACATCCAGAAGATCTTCAGAAAGTTAGCCAAGGATATGCACTTATGCACGGAGATATATTGTTGTCAAGTAGTATGTTGATATTTTGGTTAATTCGAATACTGTTCACAATCGAATATTATAATCATTATAAGCAAGTAACAACAGAAGAATCACAGCATAAACAACAACATGATAACTGATTGACAAAATCATCGTAGAACTTCGCACACAACTGCATCAGCTCAACTTGCCACACTTCACAGTAGTATACAAATAACAGTTGGATAGAGAAATAGTGACACCGAAGAAGATAAAGTAGTATGAGAGAACAAACAATCTGAAGATAAAAGTTAGTCCAAATTTTCTAGCTTTAGAAGATATCAAGGAAACAATATATATGCGCCATTGTGACCGATTTTCTCCAAGAGTTCCCCACTACTGGTTTCTATCGTTTCAGGGACTCTAGTCTGGTAGTTCACATCTTCCTACACGGCTCAGACCAAAAGTAAGAGATTTCATGGACTGGTGTCACATCTTGGTCTGGCCACCCTAAACCCTGTTCCAACCTAATCTAGCTTCCCCTAAATAATAACATAGGATCCGACAGAAAAACAGCATTAGTACGTCAGTATCGAAGAGAAAGTACTGAAAATAATTTTAATATCCGTAATCATGACCAAGTGTCACTTCTCATTCCACGTTACGCTGACCTGTCATGATCTGCAATGAGATTTATCTCGTCGAAGGTTGAAATTACACAGTATGTAGCAGTAAGATACTTACTGCTTTAGTAATTTAGTAAGATGACTTTTCACCTTTAGACAATATGTCGCCATAGTTTATCCAATCTTTCAACTTTCTGAGCGCCCATAAAGTAATGTATTTTGAGATGAATAGGGATTTTTAATTTAGAGGTAGTATTCATCACGGACTGACATCAGTTGGGGAACCATTGAAGATCTAGGAGCAATGGACAGCTGTTTCGTCATGGTATGGGACTCCTCGGTAGTACGCACCCACAACCCGGATAGGGATTGAACTCAGGACCTTCAGGTTAAAGCGTTCGCCGTGAAACCTGAAGATTCTGAGTTTAATCACTAGCCGCGTTGTGCGTGCATACTGCCGAGGAGTCCCATACCAGGACGAAACAGCTGCCTAGTGCTCCCAGATTTCCAATGGCTCCATAAATGATGTCAGTCCATGATGAATACTACTACCCATAAAGTATTAGGAGATTACAGTCAATTATCAATATCGTGTTTGCTGGCACCCATAGGCAAGGTGCATGTATAACTTCAAGAATTGTTTACTGCTCAGGAATTCGAATTCGTGTCCAGTGTTGGAGTTAGCGACACTAAACCACGGGATTATTCACGTCGTGTTCTACCTATTGCAGGACTGCACTAAAGACAACGATTCGTAACTGAAGAGTACCCCATACCATATGATTCAGTCTTAGATGCTGACTGAATTCCATCCACCAAATTACCTACCACCAATCAAAGTGCACTAATATTGTAGGATGGCTAAGATATGTGTTACGTGTGCCTAGTCACCGTCTGCTTAGTCACGCATTGTTGGGTGGAAAGGTTAGGGTTGGCCAGACTAAAACATGACATTACTACATGAAGTCCTTGACTGTTGTTTTGAGACATCTTACGAGACGAAGACTACCCGACTAGGGGTTTATGTGACAACGGAAACCAATGGTTAGAGAGTCTAGGTGATATGGCACGAAATCCATGTGGGTGGTGCAGAGGTATCCACACTGTTTTCACCCTAACCGCTGTAGTGAATTTAGCATTTTGATTCCTTCCTCTTCCTTTTTTTAATGCATTCTACTGCTTTTGATCGGTTTTTCTTTCTTTCTTTCTCCATCTTTCAGCTTACTACTTTGTTGTAATGAAATGAGGTGTGGGGAACTTTGACCGTTACGCAGTAATGCCTGATCCTATGCTGATATGAACTGTTTTGATTGATCATTGAACGTCTCCTTGCTACGTGCCTATATAGCAAAATTCATCCAAAAAAATCCACAGGCAGGTGTTATTATTTGTGACGTTGCGCATAACCACTGGGAAAACGGAAAAGCTAACTAAATAAATGGTGGCTCAGTAACTCTGTTTACTTCGATAGTCTATGCTATAAGCAGCGCCACATTGTCTAGTGCTAAGTGCTAGTCGAATTCTATTGATCACTGTAGAGAAGATGGATTTGTACAAACGAATTGCAATGCATCACAGTAGAACGAACACACGCATACACAAAAAAAATAAACTAGAAGAACATTGACACACACACACACACACACACACACACACGAAATTGTACCAGTGACCAATAAACAGAGGTCAAAAGATGAACGATGATAAATAGTATAGAAAGAACGACATTAGCAACACTGTTAATTCATGATAGTGATGATCGATTGAAAGACCCATGCAGTTTATTTTAATTCTCATATTCAGTGGACATGATAAACATACTTTGAAACTCTTATCATTAAAAATACTGAAGACAATGGTTAGTGGACAGGAATATTGAGTGAAAAATGAGAAGAACAATACAAAATCCAGTAAACTTATTCGCTTTATAAAACTGTAAATAATCTGTTCCTAAAGATAGGAATGATATAGGAATAGCAAAAAGTTAACAAAAATATCGTGAATCTGAGGCTTAGTGAATTACGTAGTCGACCTTTAATCAGTAGTTTATGAGTTGAAACACCGTTTAAACCGCGGACGTTTTGATAGTTAAGTAGCATTACATACCTCACATGACAGATACGCCTAACTACCTAGCCTATAAAATTATAAATGGTGACTGAGTTACAGTGAAATCCGAGCATGATTCATAAAAGCCGATACATTAGCAATGTACATAGATAGGAAGGAATAGATGACATATAACAACTGAAAGAGTTATATCGAAGGAGAAGTCCACTCAGCAACCTTGTGTACATTCGTACAGTAGGCAAAGAGTCATATCTGTTGTATGAGGGTTAACGATAAGACCTGGCTGCTCGGTAGGCAGGATGGTATTAGAACCTGTGACTCACTTGGTTGAAAGTCAACTCCCCAAACCAAGCCACAACTCCACAACGAGTTACATACTGGTGTATCAAGAAAATAATATGAGGACTACCAACATGAATTGATAACTATCTAGACAAAGTGTAAAACGAATTTGAATAGACTACAGAAATGACTACAAGTGGAAGAGCAATATAAGTAAACTACATGGCATAGTCAAAAATTAATTTCAGCTTGGAGGTTTGTGGCAATTGATTGATTTCGTCATACACCGACACCAGTTGGCGCACTGCTGAGGAATCCCAACCTAGAATAAAATATCTGTTCAGTATCTCAAGGGTTTTCAAGTTTATGCCGATACATGATAAAAACCACTTTGAAATCAATGAATGTTTCGAAAAACAAACACTTGAATGGTGACATATAAGCTGGCTATAGTGTTACATAAAACAGAAAAGTAGGTGGAGTTAGAAGAGCTGAAAGCAGTAATAAAGAAAGTATTGACCATACAACTGGATAATTTAGAAATCCAGTGGTATAGTGGATAATGCTTTTCTATTAAAAGCGATGGGTACTAGGTTCGAGTCACAGTGGGAATAACATCATTCATTGGGAGGCAGATGTATCCAACTGCCGAGTCCTAAGTGAAATTAAAAGCATCCTGGATTTCACTGCTAGCCACCATTAAGCAAATCAACGATCAGGCAATATCCGAGCATTGGCATAGGAGTCCATAGGTTAGTAGAGGTCGAACAATTCGATCCAGTAAGACGATGGAGAATTACAAGTATATCAACAAATAATAATAATTAATACCCGTTGTACAAGATGTGATTATAATACCTCAGTGACCTAGTGGATAACGCTTTGGCGTTTGTAGCGATGAGTACAAGGTTCGAGTCCCAGTAGGGACATCATTAACTGGGGTGCAGGCACATCCAGCTGACGAGTCCCAAATGGGACAAAACGCACGTCATGGATTCCTCTGCTAGCCACAACCAAACAAAATATATGGAATTAGTTTGAAAGGTGATGATTTAACATAACCAGCTTTAGAAAAACATAAAAGTCTAAATATAACTTATAGATGGCAGTCATCATCAGTATATGTAAACTAGTTCTCTGGTGCAGTATTCAGTACTCTATGATATGCAGTATGACATACAATGCTAATGCCAAACAGCTCAGAAAATACTGAGTAATTTTATTGGTAGACATGATCTGTTGTCCGTTTAAAGGCCAAAATTTTGACTTCTTCCCCAAAAACAACTGTTAAACGCAGAAATCAGAACGCTTATCAGCTGGTTGGAGGCAATAGGCGAGGGGTCATGGACCTAAATTTCATACTAGTAGGTACTTGTCGGTCTTACAGGAGGTCAATCGCAGGCCGAATAGCTCAGTAGCGCTAAGCGACATGAGGACATCAGTTCCATTCAGGCTGTAGATACACCTAACTAGTGCCAGCCAACAAGCA